CAGTGGCCCCACTACAGCACCGTCGATGGTCAGGGGTGGATGCTTTAGAGCGGTTGGTTACCTGCCAGAGTGGTTGGCAGCCAAGATCAACCTGTATTTGGCAGGCTGTCATTTCCCAACCTGGTCACAACCAATAGAGGTCAGAGCTGCTTAAAATGTGTAAAGGCTCTGTGTGTTCCAAATCAAAACCTCGGTCACACCAGCAGCATACCCTGGAGTAACCCATCCTCCTAATCCCATCAGGCCCAAGTGGCTTAGGCCATGTCAGGCCCTAAACCTCAATACTCCTCTTTCTTTCTGTCTGCCTACCCACTTCACACACCATTTGGTCTTCATCACCTGTGTGTATCTGTCTTACTACCCTTATACATATGCAGTAATCTGTCTGAAAATGTTTGTGCTTTTGTGTTTCTGGATATGTTATTTCAGAACAGTTCATGTAACCTTGGAGACTCTGCTTAGACTGTTCGGAGCAATTTGCAAGATAGTTGGTATAATTCTCAACTCTGGTATAATTCTGAAATATTCTATCTCATGACGTTAAAAGGATTTTGATATTTGTCAACTTGAGTCTTATTGTCAGTGTTTTATGACTGTACGTAATGATAAGACATTTTATGTAGAGATTTTGGAAATGTGTACACTGGCAGTAGCTCAAGCCTCCTTCTGTACAGGTTTGTGAAAACCTTCCAGTCTTTGAGGCAGGCTGTTTTACTGCAACAGGACCTTCCAGGGGGACATGTAGAGATGATTGGCATTAGAGGTGGCAACAAAAAAGATCAACATTCATGTTTAAAAGTCAGAAATGTATGATCCCAATAAGTTTGTAATAATAATAGTCCTCAAAAACCACTCAAGAGTGCTATGAATGAATTAATGTCCATGCCAGTCTTGTCATGTTTGCAGAATCTGCAAGAGTGTTCAGGTTGCAAAGGGGTATTCTGATATTTGTCCAGCTGGATTTTAGTACATGTTCAGAACAAAAACAGTCCCACAATTTTAAAAGCTGGTGGCAACATATTCACTAGTGAAACAATTAAATACAATCCAGGAGGTTCAGCTGGAGTCATAGATCCACAAGTTTGAAGGTTGTGTCCATGACAAAACACTTCACAATGGTTTAAGATACTATGAGGAAGGATTTCACTGCTCTGAAAACGTTTTTCAGGCACTTTATCTCTTCTTTTGTGAAGGCAAGATAAACATTAGTACTGCGTTCATGTTACAAAGTAATCTAATAGAATGATGCACTTGCACACATTTGATTTGACATCTCAGTGTCTTGTTGAATGAGGTCACGTTGCAACAAACAAAGTTAAGAACGTTTCTGCTTCAGTCAAATTCTGTAGATGGCTCTGCATTTTTGAAAATCTATTTATTTAATTTGATTGAAAGATTTACTATGACATTGATCATGGAAATGTGAGCACCAAGCAGGTTTCAAAAAAAAACTTCAATTAACAAAATTTGTCTGAGTCAAATTGTAAGTAAACACAGAAAATGTGTGCCTTGCATGGGCTTTGTTCACCTCCCTCCTTTGCTGTGACTGGTGACCTCTTTCACCGGAGCCTCATACTCAGAGATGCCGGGAGGCCTCAGCTGAGTAGGCTAATCTTTTGAAGGATTGCAGAGCTGCTGGGAATTCTCCCCAGCCAAACAGACTCGGGCAACAGGGTCACCAGTGGATACATGGACTCACCCAAGAATACAGAGAATAGTGGGTCAGAGGCAAACTTAATTGGAAATGACACGGAGCCTCAGTTAGACAAACACAATGAACTAGGCTAGAGAAGCTAGACAATGCCCTGAAGGTGGACTGTACATGTAAATATACAGAAAAAGGCGGAATCAAAGTCACAGGTTTAACCTGGTTTCCCAGTCTAAACATTTAGCAGTGACCGTCTGGGAGAAAGCAGGTGGGTGTTTGGTGTCTTAAATACTTTTCAGCAGGTTATGTGGCTCTTGATGGACTTAACTTTGCTGTAGGGATTTAAATACCAGGTCTGCCAGCTCAAATTAAATCAAGCTTAATTAGTCTTGCCCCTTTGTGCTTATAAATTACATATATCAGTGTCTGTGTGGTTAGAAATGAAAAGAAACAGTAATTTAAGGTTATATACATTTTAGGAATTGTCAGGTTTTATGTAGAATACACCAAAGGACACTAGTGCAACCTCTTCCCATGGAGGTACTGTGAATTCAAGCAAGGGTTGAGGGAGAAGTTGATGTACTGAGAAAGAGAGGTCAGCAGAACCCCTCATAAATGGTGAACATAAATAGCAGGTCGTTGTTAGGGGTATGCAGCCACATTGGCCTTGGTTTGAGTCCAGACAAGGGGGCCCTCGCTGCATGTCACCCCTCTGTCGCCACAGATGCTTTTTAAAACCCCACAGGGCCCATACAGTATGAAGCAGAAGAGATAAAGGCATTCATTAAAAGACACATCTATGGTGAAAAGCAGCAGTGAAATGCCGTGGTCAGAGTTCAGTTAGTTACTGTATGTAGCCTGGTTCATGGTGGATTTTGGAGGTTGATATCAATATCGATATATGGGAGTAAAAAATTTAAAAATTGATGCATCAGCCACCTTTTTCTTTCACATGGCCAAGTAACGTAAAGCTTTTTAGTAAACCATTTTGGTTCTAAATAAATGTGACCACAATGTGTACTGAATGGAACATTTCAAAACTTGTTAGCCCTTTCTGGATGGCAAACTGTGTAATGGTTTCTCTATGTTGGCATATGTTGCATTTCTCCACTACAATTTGTTGCTACTTACAGTATTGACCAACATTATACAGTGATACCGATATATCAACAGCAAGCTATGATCAGCTCTAAGCTGATGAAAACAGATTTTTCAGATACACCTTGATACTGTGTTACTTGTGCCTGCTGCTTCTACTACAGACACAACATTTAGACAAAATGATTTAAACTTGTCTTCTTGACTATATTTCCATGAAAGCAGAAGAAGGAAAAGTGCAGTGATTTTAAGTGTTATTTTGCCAGCATTTCAGAAATTCACTCAGAACTTAGAGAGTATTTTTAAAACTTTTTTTCACTTGACAGTTGACAGCAGATATAGAGACTGGAAACTGAGGGAGGGAGATGGATACACTTGGATCCCCCCAAACTACTAACAGGGTAAAGAAGAGGAGAGACAATACTGATTAATAGACTGGGTTCTTTTAGTCACTGCTCAATGATTTTTTTTCCAGCAATATGAGCAAAAAGACATAATTGAAATTCTATCATGCTGAGGTTTTTGATACTCTTATCTCCTTGATCCATACTACATAACCTGCCAGTGTCAAAGATAAACAAGAGATAATGTAGGTCATGGAGACAAAAGTGGAAGAAGAACTGTATGAAAGAGGAAGGAGGCAGTTAAGTGAATAGAGGCAGCTGTCATGTTGTGGACCACGGCCAGAGAAGCACAGCTGGCCAGGGCATGCCGCACAGAGGCTGCTACTGTAGCTTTTATAGCAAAGCACACACAGGCGTACATCTTCACTCGGCAAACATGAGGCAGCAAATGACTCTTGGCCTGTTTGTTGCAACAGGTGGACTACTGTTTCTGCACTCTCACTCACTCACACACACACACACACACACACACACACACACACACACTACACTGGCAAGCAGCTGCCTGGCGACAGGAGATACTCTTTCTTGTTGGCAAAGCGATCTCCCCTGTGTGTTGGTAGTGTGTGTGTGTGTGTGTGTGTGTGTGTGTGGACCACCATGCTCTTTGTCCCTTTAGCATTTTTTTGTCAACCCTCATTCACAACAGTGTGGATTACCAGAGTTAAATTTCACCAGATCCCAGTCAAGAACGATGGAGAGAGCAAGGTGGGGTTTCCATCAAGCATCTGGCAACCCACCACACAGTATTCCCCTTTTATTTACCATCACTCCACTCTGCCCAGTGGGAGGTTGGTGAAGTATTTATTAGAGCACCTAAAGGAGAGAACTCTGACTCTGCATCTGGTATAGGTATGCCAGGTGACGCTCCCCCACCACCACCACCTGCCTCCTGTTGTGCCACAAACACAAAAGGCTTCCTCTTTGGCACACAGAGAAACACACACAGTAGCCATGCCAGTGAAACCTGAGGCTTTGATTAACTATCAATTAAAAAAAAACAACACTGTATGACTATAAACCCGTAGGTTTAGCAGTGTACACAGATAAAACAGAGAATACACACTGGGAAGCCAAATGATGCAGGTGCAGGAGTACTTAGATGATGTGATTAAGGAAGGATCTTTGTGTTTATTTAGCTTTTATATCCTTTGTCGGCCGTTCAGTGGAGCACAGCTGGCCTTTACGTGAAGTGAATAAAGTAGATCACATTTGAACATGTAAATTGAATCAACAGTATGCCAATTTTAGACCAGAAGCAGTTGAAATTTGGCTTGTGCCAAGAATCAAGGCAAAAATGTACGTTTATAGCACTTGTGCATGTCTGTTGTTCCCCCACATGCTCATTCCTCTGACAGAGTCAGTACCGATAGATATGCACATAACCAGTTATACAATCAGCAGACAGTATTTCTCTGTAATAATGAAGTCTCTGTAGAGTTAGTAACTCTGCTAAGCCCATAGGGTGCCTGCTGCACTCATCTCCACAGTTCAGTCTTTGTGTGTGTGCAAAGGATTAAGCCATAATTGAGTTGGTTAACTGTGCCTTACAGGTTAATGGCATTCATTTACATGACTAACACATACAGTAGATATCATATGCAAAAACTGCAGCTGAGTAGAACAGATAACAGCTTTGTCACTGTTAAACTATTGCATGCTACGTTCATGGTACTTTCAGTTGATCAGTTTAGACACACATTGACAAGTCCCGGACAATGTGACCCAGTAACACTGGTAATCTCCTGTCATTTCTGAAGTATGCATTTAGGAATAAATTGTAACAGCAATGGTGATACCCAGACTTTAGCATAGGAGCATGCTAAACTAAGATTGTGAACACAGTAAACATACCTGCTAAATGGTCTGTTTCCAGGTCTTGTGGAGCACCATGGCAAATGTGAAAGAAATTGTACAAAGCCTTTTTGTGGTTTCAAAGGGAGCTGTGTGGTAGCTAATACATTTCTTCAAGTGATGTCACTTCGAGTTAGTGTTGGCTGGGGCTGAAAACTGCTAGTTTAAAAATGAAATTGTAGCATTTGAAAGAAGTGAGTTTACCAGAGCTTTGTAACAGATCTTTATGCTGACAAGTCAACATTACATTAGCCACTTATAACATAAGACACCTGAATTTCCCACCAAAGTGTTGCCATCAGGTTGCATTGTGAATAATGTAGGCTCCAGGTTTTGAGAAGGAAGATAATTATGTACAATGATAAAGATGATACCTCTGGTTTGGCTGCATTGATTTTAATACTTTTTTTTACCATGTTGGTATTCAGCTCAAAGCACTGCTATGTCCAAGTACAGGCTCACAGATCACATAGTTAACGGTAAATGGTCTTTTACTTGTATAGCACGTTTCTATGCATTGTAGCGCACTCAAGGCACTTTCATACTATTTGGCCATTCACCCATTTGCACACTGGTGTCATCACCGGAAGCAACTGAGGGTTCAGTGTCTTGCTCAAGGACACTTCGACATGTGGACCAGACAAGCTGGGAATAGAGGTGCTAATCTTCCGGTTAGGAGATAACCCGCTGTATCTCCTGAGCCACAGCCACCGCAGCCGCCATCGGTTTCTCTAAAAGGTAATTAGCTGGTGTTGTTTGAACAACCCAGATGGCCACTTACTACTGTCCTGATGGCAATTTCAAAAGATGTAAAGACTCAAAATATTAGAATGAAAAATGTTTCCTGCCTGATAAAAATGCTTGTAACTCCTTTCCCCTGTGCAACTCCTATTTATCTTTTACTGAAACTGATTACCTCTGTGACTTGAATGTAAGATGTGCTGACACACGTCAGGCTAAACTGGTTTTAAGCCTCACAGAGCTGCAGCAACGTCTTCCCATGGAGATACTGTTTCAGTTTTTTTTCCACTCAGTTTAAATTTTTTACTATTCAGTGCTTGTATACTATATACAAATATAATATTGATTTAGAGTATAGTTATATGCTGTTCCTAGAAGGGGCATTCTCTGTAAGCTGCACAGATCCTATTTTCCAGTGAGTCTCTGTGTCTTTGATCAATGCAGTGGCTCTTTCAAGATCAAAGATTTTGATTGTCAATTCACTATATGTGAAGGACGTACAGAAAATTGAAATACCGTTTCTCTCTCACCTAGTATTGAATGCATTACCATTTAGAAAACTAAAACAGAATAAAAGTAGAGTAAAAATAGAATAAAAAAAATAAAACTAAATCAAAGTGATTAGGATACCATATCCCTGAAGGCAGGAGTGTGAAGGGTGGGAGGTGTCATCAGGAATGCTGATGGCTCTGCGGGTGAGGCGGGTGTTAAAGATGTCCATAAGGGAAGGCAGATGGACACTGATGATCTTGCTGGCTGTTTTCACTGTGCGTTGCAGGGTCCTTCTGCAGGAGGCAGTACAGGCTCCGTACCACACAGTGATGATGCTCTCAATGGTGTCCTGGTAGGAGGAGCACATGATGGGTGTGGGACACTGGCTTTCCTCAGTTTGCGGAGGAAGTAGAGGTGTGTTTGAGCTTTCTTGGCCAGTGATGTGGTGTTGTTGGTCCAGGAGAGGTCCTCAGAGATGTGAACCCCCAGGAACTTGGTGCTGCTCACTCTCTTCACTACAGCACTGTCGATGATCAGTGGTGGATGCTTTAGAGGTTTTCTCCTGAAGTCCACAATGATGTTTTTAGTCTTCCCCACATTGAAGAAGAGGTTGTTGTCCTTACACCACTGGACCAGTTGGCACACCTCACTCCTGTAGTTGGCCTCATCACCAACTAAAGTTGTGTCATCCGCAAACTTGGCAATGTGGTTGGAGCTGTAGGTTGGCGCACAGTCGTGGGTCAGCAGTGTGAAGAGCAATGGGCTGAGCACACACCCCTGCAGAGCCCCTGTGCTCAGCATGATGATCTTGGAGATGTTGCTTCCAACCTGCACATTTTGTGGCCTCCCTGTTATAAAGTCCAGCCCCCAGCTGCAGAGAGAGAGTTGTCCATGTTCTTGTTCAAGCTGCTGGGGGATGATTGTGTTGAATGCTCTTGATGCAGACAGGCAGTCTGACAGACAGATAATGGAGTCAGACAAGCAGGGCAGGGACTGGTGCTGCTGTTCAGTGCTAGGGCCTGGCCTGGACACTGCTGACTGATGCAAAATAGAAACACAGGGGTGGAACAGTGAGAGAGACAGAGAAAGAGAGAAGGACTGAGAGAGTGAGTGAAAGCTAAAGCAATACTGATAGCAAGAGAGAGGAGGAGGAGGTTGGAGGAAGAAGGGAGAGACTTTATCGAGCCAGTGTGAGTCAGCAGGTTGACAGAGCTTCAGGGTGCGGCTCCAGCACACCACAGCTACTGTAAATTTGTACTGGATTTGTCCTGAAGTCCACCTGAGCCTTTGTGTTCTACAGTTAGTTACTTTGAAGCCTAATTCTGTCTTACTAATTAAAAACAATCAGCTACATAATTATGAAGACAGTACATTTCACCATATTAAGACTAAAACATGTACTTACATCAGCATGCACCCCTTTCATTTGATTGTATATCCAGGTTTTCTGATGATGTTTGGAGTGTAAACCTTATCAGTACACTGTTTCTCTATGAGACATACACTGTAAAGCAGCATTGCCACTAATACAACTTTATAGTGTTGGTAGGTGGTGATCTAAATGTCAGAGACTTTTCCACTGGTTCAGTAAAAAATACATGTAAAATATCAGCCATGAAAAGCCGTCATTACATTTACTGGCAGCCTGTGTCAGCCTCATAAGATGAATAGTGTGTTGTAACTGTGCGTGTTTGTCCTGTGTGTGTACAGGACCAGGAGGCAGTGTACCAGCAGTGTATGGCCTGGATGTGACAGACCTGTCGAGGTGGGAGGAGATGGTGCTGAACCCTGCACTGCAGATACTGGAGTGTCTCAGTAAGGTGGGGCCTCATTAGGCTAAACTAGCAGCTTCTTGTCTCCATCTTCCATCTGGTGTTGGGGATAAAGGAATGAAGTCTTGTTCCTTCTATTGTCTCTTTCCTCTTTGGTGTCCTATCCCGTTAGTTTGTCCTTCCTTTGCTTTACTTGTTTTATTTGCCTTAATTTAGCTGAACTTATTTTCCTTTCTCCCTTTTCCTCATTTCATCATTCCCTCTTTTTTTACTGCCACCTTTTCCTTCTTATTTCTCCATCTTACTTGATTTTCCTTCTTTGACTTTCAGTTCACTTCCTCCTTATTTTATGATTGCTTTTTCCTCCCTTTGTACTTCCACTTTCTTTATTTATGTTTTCTGCATCATTCATTAATTTCTTTGTCTTATTATTAGTCTCCCATCTTAATTTTACTCCTCACTATTTTATGAGTGTCCAGTTATGAGTGTATACAAAATGATCACCATTTTATGCCTGCAAAGTTACAGCTGTGTAACACTACACCTGTCAATGATGAATAAAATTGTAATAATTTGATGATGATGGTTTAATTAGTGTAAAAAACAAATTTGGTTGTTCGTCATTTAATATAATATGAAGGGAATCGTAGATGAGTTAACAAAGGAGCAATTTCAGCTATAGCACAGTGTTTCATTCAAAATCTATCAAGCATGAAGCCTAAAACTGAAAACTCTTTGGCTCAACCAATCAGGGAGAGGAGCCAACAATTCCACCAATCAGAGTTCAGAGAGCGGAGGAGAGAAACAAGCGGAGTCGTCACACATGTGATATTTGTGACAAAGTGATCATCGGTGACCTAGAGTGGACAGGTGAGAGTCTCAACCCGAATCACACAAAAACCACACAATGGTACTCATTTGGATGATTTAGCCTAATGAGATTTAAACCTCTTGCCTCTCTTGTTACTTTTGCAGAAATTATTTTGGTGCATATGCATATATTGTACATACTGCATAGTATACCTACTGTATATTTAGTCAGTTGTGCCCTGGATTATATCTTATAGCACACACAAGATCTGCCTATGGCTGCATATTGGTCTCATTACATCGAGATGCTTTCACATTAAAACGTCAACCCTCCCACACCAACTTTCCACACAATGACCAGAATTAGGAGGTGCGCTCCAGCCGGTTCTTGAGAAACACTGATCTGACACTTAAATCCATGCACAATTATTAACCCACAAAATAACACATGAATGCAGCTCATGAGCCATGATAAATAAAACATACCCTACACATGTCCTGATGATGTTAGAGGCATTATTGACAGCAGGTAAAGTCAGTGTGTGTGGCTGCTGTCTCTCACTCCAAGCTGCAGGGCTCAAGTTAGGGAGTAGAAATGATATGATCCACTATAGGGGTGTGTAATATCATATTGGACAGCTCTTCTGGCTACACATCTGAAACTATAGGCCTATATAGACTATGTTATATGTTGATTGTGCAGTGACTGCCAGACAGAAAAAATAAGCAAAATCTTTTTTTTTTTTAATGTATGTCTGATGCGTACAGGATTACAGCTGCAGGTGCCATTATGTATAGTTACTAATTATAATATGTGGTTGAATTGAAATAATCTTTCTAGACCTTGTAACACAAGCTGTGACACCCAAAATGGGTCCATGACTCAGTTTGGTTCACAGTCCAACTCAGACAGAGCAACTTAAACAATGTCCTGTGTTTCGATTCTCTTCACCTGCAGCTCACCTGAACTCCAAGAAGCATCGCTACCATGTGAAAAAAAAGAGGAAGCCTGATCCAGCCTGTGACCATGCTCAGAGCAGTGCTGCAGCTCCTGCCTCTGCAGGAGAGACTCTCTCAGGGGACACTTGTGCTACTGTTGCCCCAGGATGCAGTGAAACCTCTCAGGAGTTTTGGGACAACACACCAGTGACAGTTTAACAACTGCGCCAACTGGACTGCATACATCTTCTCTGAGATTCTATCCTTTGTTCTGCATTGTTTCTCTTTTAGTCTTTAGAGAATCACAAATGCATCCACGTCTTTTTTTAACATAGAAGGCCCCCCTGGGAGGGTCTTCTCCCTGCTCTCTTGCTTCCCACTGAGTTGCATTAATTCCATTAAAACATAACTTGAAAGCACTTAAATTTCAACTGGATGAAAGTCCTCCTTTTCCTACAGAGAAATTCATAATACCGTTCCTTGCTGAATGTGGATAACAATGAACATTTTTGAACATTTCTTTTAACATTCATGAAGATTTGAACTCAGAAGGATACATTTAATGTTTTATGGCATGTACAGCTAGAGAAGTGTGCATTTTAAGGACTGTTTTTATTTTAAGGACTGTTTTTGTCACTGTCTTAAAACCTTGGTTAAATTGAAATTATTTTTCAATTTTTACTGAATGTGCCTTAACCAAAGCAGAGGTCTTTCATATGGCTGGTATTGAAAGAAAATCTTCCATTTCATAAATATTACTGTTTCAAGATTTAAGATTCTTTGTCTTTTATTAAGCTTAACCAACATGCACCCTTAACTTCATACAGCTAGTGTTTAAATCTTAAATAAACCAAAGGATCTTACATTTTCTCAGCCACTGGATGATGTTTTGTGTTACTAAAGTGAAAAACAATCCACATGAATTCAGCTCTCTCAGTGAGACCTCGCTGTCAAGCTTGCAGAGCACATTGTTTTGTGCTCTGTTTGCCTGCTACAACTTTGTTTTACTACCTTAAAATATTGTTGTTCTAGCTCTTTGTTTGATAAAGATTAGAAACACGATTTGTGCTGTTGTCTTTCACTGAAGCTTTGCTAAGCTCATTTCTACTCTGACAATAGTATAAACCACCCGCTCAGGCTGTCAGGATTACTATTTTCACAGCAGTAATTGCAGATCTTTGTTTATCCAGCAGCTTGTCATACCCCTCTCAAACCAAGGTGTGTCTGCCTGTTTACACAATATCTGGCGTCGCTCCAAAGGCCTCCTTCGGCACTGTTTTCCTCTCCTGACCTGCCCTGATTTCACCTCTTTTCCAAAGAATCAGACAACTCTTCCACTGTTCTGGCTAGCACTCCGTCACCGCTTTCTTTAAGTTTCCAGTCTTCTGTCAGTACTAGTTTAGTTCACATACTCCCAGTGTTTGACCTCATCCACTTGACTAAAAATATTTTCACTAATATAATAGCTGGAAGTGTTTTTGCATGTGAGTGAGTGAGTGAGTGTGTGTGTGTGTGTGTGTGTGTGTGTGTGCGCGTGAGCACGTGTGTCCCACATTCTCTTGCTCTAAACTGGGTCAAGCCTCAACCTTACTGGGAGCTTGCCATACAATATGGGAGTCACTGATAGCAGAGGTCACTGTGCAACTGGTGTTTATAACCTTTTCTGTGTCCGGATGATTTGTTTCTCCTTCATTCTGTTGTACATTTTTTAAATTAGTCATAACTAAATAGTTTTTTACCCCTCCGGTGAGACCTTTTTTTCCTTTGTCATTACAAAAACAGGAACTATGACATAGATATTTGAATATGTAAGAATGTTACCAGTCTGGCTGGACACCTTCTGGAGCTGCTGAATCACTCTGCACTTAAAAAGAAAAGCTTTACGGCCCTAATAATGATGACTCATCTTTTTTCCATAACTTTTTAGCTTTGCTGCACTACTTTGCAAATATTATTATTGCTGGAGACTTTAATACTGTTCTAAACCCTAAAAATGATTGATCCAACTCCTCCACCAATACAAGAATCTGGCATTCTACAGAAGTTATAAAGCAATATATGAATTATTTCAGCCTTTGTGATAGTTGGAGACTGAATAATCCTTCATCTAGTGGATATACATATTTTTCCTCCCTCTATCAGTATTTATCACGAATCAGCCTTTTTCTCATAAGTAGTTCACTAACCCAACATGTAACAGAAACCACAATTCATTCAGTCATAATCAGTCACCACTCTTCCCCCCCAACCTTGACTTCTGGACCAAGATCTGTAATAATATCATCTCCATGACTACCAATACAAAGGTTCAAGGATTTTATTGTCAATTCACCGTATGTGCAGGGCATACAGAAAATCGAAATACCGTTTCTCTCCCTCCTAGTATTGGGTGCCATAATATTTAGGAACTACAAATAGAATAAAGTAGAATAAAAATAGAATAGTATAAGAACTTACAGCTTATACAATACAAGACTATTCACAGGACTCATCACACAAGGTAAAATGTTTAAAATGGGTTTCATTGATACAGATACTTGTCCACAATGTACTCTGGGTTGCGTCTATGATTACTTCCATGCTACTTGGACTTGTCAACCCATTTACTCCCTCTGGGTAGCGGTGACAGAGAAATTCTCCACCATCTTGAGCTGTAGAATCTTCCCACACACATTCCCACAGACTCCTAGAAATATAAGAAGCAAATTTTTTTTCATTATTGATACTGTTATTAGTCCTCACCGTCCCTGGTAGGCTAGTGGTCAAATCCAGGTTGTGTGAGGAAGGGCATCAGGCGTAAAACACGTGCCAAATGTTAACATGTGAGTCGTCAGTGTGACGACTCGCTGTGGCGACCCCTAAACGGGAAAAGCCGAAAGTGACTTTCTTATACTGTTATTAGTCCTCATTTCTCATTGTCCATGCTGTTTTGAGTATTTCACCACTATCAATCAAACTAGATTAACAGAGAATATAACCAACCCCCTCCCCTTTTTCTTTCTTTTTTCCTTTTTCTCTCTAATCGTTTACTGATTTGCTAATTAAATTTTTGTTTTGTGAATATGTTTATACATATATATCTGGGTATGTATAAATATCTGTATGCATATGTATATATTGTATTTATATGATCAAAATTGCTTTATTTTTTTCTTTTATTGTTATTTTATTATTACAGTCATCCATTTTCTGTTGAACTGGCTTATTTACCATTCATCTTTCTCCAGCATTAACAAACCAGGAGTTGTATTAGGGGATACTCAGCAGCTGGGGCATGCAATTTGGGATCACCCTTGGGGTTAATCTAGGAGGCACAGCGTGGGGGAGGAAGGCCAGGTCACTATTCCCTTTCCCTTAACTGCATATAGCATCACTGGACTGCTGACACCCTCTTAGACAAGCTCCCTCATCAGGGTCTGGGAGCTGTTTAGGAGGGGAACACGCCACACATTGGGTTAGGTCTCTCCTGTCAAGGTCAGGGACCGACCCCGAGCTTTTTGTCCCAACAATCAACTATTAACATAAACCATGACAAACAGTAAAACAAAGAAAAGGATTAAACTTAACCATAACACAAGGACACTGCTGTCCTGCTGCCCTGAACGACCTCACCCTGCTGAGCTGCTCCAGAGCTCCCCAAGTGGTGGCCTCACCTGGTGCTTTTGGTTCGGGGTAGGGGCATCACCAATACACTCCTGGTCCCTTGTTGATTTAACAAGTGGAAAAGTAGGGCAGCCTTTATGGTCACATGGCTAATTAGTGATTTGCGCACTGTGATGCACTGGATAATCTATGGACATACAGTGAGGAACAGAAGTATTTGAACACCTTGCAATTTTGCAGGTTCTCCCACTTAGAAATCATGGAGGGGTCTGAAATTCACATTGTAGGTGCATTCCCACTCTGAAAGACAGAATTTAAAAAAAAAATTCAGGAAATCACATTGTATGATTTTTAAAGAATTTATTTCTCTTGCACTGCTGAACATAAGTATTTGAACACCTGAGAAAATCAGTGTTAATATTTGGTACAGAAACCTTTGTTTGCAATTACAGAGGTCAAACGTTTCCTGTAGTTCTTGACCAGGTTTGCACACACTGCAACAGGGATTTTGGCCCACTCCTCCACACAGATCTCCTCTAGATCTGTCAGGTTTCGGGGCTGTCGCTGAGCAACGCGGAGTTTAAGCTCCCTCCAAAGATGTTCTATTGGATTGAGGTCTGGAGACTGGC